CACCCCAAACATGAATAAACCATGGTATATACCTGTAATCCCAGCACTAGGGAACTTGAGGCAGGAATCTGTGAAATCCTGTCTCAAATATTAGTGTTTTTAGAGCCCTGTTGTCGGGACAACTGTTTCTGAAGATAATATTAGGCCCCCACCCCCCAACCATTCAGATCCTCCCAGGCCGTAAAATTCCTTCAAGGAACTTAGTTTCCACAGTGAGGCCTGTGAGTCATTAGTTTAACAGGAGCCTTTGGTGATTTGGGGACTGCCACTTACAATCAGTAAGTCTGAGAAATACTGCTTTAGACTGTGATTTCTGCTGGAAATCAATAGCCAACTTCAGTACCTGAAGACACACGATCTTGCTTCCTCCCACCCTCTCCAAATATTGCCACAGGGAATTAGCCGTGTTCATTAGCAAGTGAGAGTAACACCACCTGGCTGCCTGTAATTCAGAAGTGAGTTATTCATCAGAATTTAGGTGAAAAAAACAATCTCTAAAGAGCCCTAAATCAATCAGATTTTTAAAAATTCTGCTTTAATTCCAAAAATGACTTCACCTTTTATGATCTCTCAGCACTTTGTATTTATCTCTGTCAACACTTATCACATTGCATCCATTACTTTCTTAGGATCTCTGGTTTCGGTCCTCAACTCCTCCACGCCCATTCACGCATACTCTCTCAACTCATGCAGGAGCTATCTTCAGAGACCCTGGGGGACAAAGCCAGGTTAAACTCATTCCAACACACCCCACCATGCCACCTCTCAAGCCTGTAAGCAGTCAAGTAACCAGTGGCTTTCTGGCTACATGGGTGGACAAAGGTCATGCTCCTCCCTCTAATGCTGAGGGCAGACTTGAACTGTGAGCTTCTTGGAAGTGCTGGGCCAAGACAAGAGTAGTCACTATTGACAGGAAGAGTTTAAAAGTGTAGCTCTTTTAGCTAGCTGTGTGTTCTAAAGTAAATACGCCACCCCAAGTCTCCATTTACCTACAGACTAGGCATCATAGTTGCCTGACTGAGTTGTTCTGAAATGATGTGAGCTGCTTACTTATCACGGTTTTAACACTTTTGATTTTTATCCTTTACAGTTATTTACATGGTGTGGGAGACTGTAGTATAAAGATTCACATGTGAGACACACACACACACACACACACACACACACACACATATACTATATATATATATTATAGTATATGTGTGTGTGTGTGTGTGTGTGTGTGTGTGTGTGTGTGTGTGTGTGTGTCCTACCAGCAAGCTACAGGCTTATTTTAATGAGTAAGCTCCCAGAAAAGTTAAGTGATGGCATCTTAGTGGGAATCATTTCAATCAATCAGCTAATCAGGTTGTTTTCTTCTTGACACTTGGCTAAGATCGAGGAGAAAATGGGCTTTCTGATGGCAGGTTCTGGAAAAGGGAAACAAACAGACAGACAGAATGGGAGTCTTACTCCAGAGGGAAACGGCACTGTGTCCTTCCACCCAGCCCCCCCCCACCTCATCAGCAGCCCCAGTCAGAAAGGTACCCATGCCCTAGACAAAAGCCTCACCTGATTTACTTTCCCTTTTCCCTTTGTGTCCATTCATTTCATTCTTTTCCATAAGCTGTTCCTCCCTGTGTGATTCTCTATAGCAACACTGTCTGCATCCAATGTCCCATCTGCCTCTCCAACCATGGCTTGAAAGATACAAATCCTTTATTCTGAGGCAAATGTGAGTGACCTTATTCTCAGAGAAGAGAGAAAGTCAAAAACAATACAAGGGAGAAATAACTTTGATTGGGACACCTGCCAGGTGAGCTATGGAGGAGGAAGATCTCTTCCATAGTTTCAGATGTGAAGTTAGAACATTTTTAGCTCTAAGGTTGATGGATGCTGGATGTCTGCTGACTTTAGCAATACATCCCAAGAGATTTATCTTGAGAACTTCAGGCCAGAGACAATGGTTAAAAGCAAAAGCAAGGGAATGTGGGGGGGGGGGGCACTCAGCAGTTAGGAGTACTGGCTGTTCTTCCAAAGGATCCAGGTTCAGTTCTTAGTACCCAGACCATGGTTCACAACCATCTGTCACTACAGTTCCAGAGGATCCAATACCCTCTTCTGACCTCCGTGGGCATCATGCACAGGTAGTGCACATATACAAAAGCAGGCAAACACTCAGGCACATGAAATAAATACTTTTTTAAGAAATAAAGTAAATGGGTATTTTTCTACAGGCACTAAGCCCAGATAACTCTCCACTTGTGACATTCCATCCCTCAATAATCCCAGTCTTCTACCCCACCAAAGTCAAACAACAGAGCCAAAGAGCTTGAGGGATTTTTTAGAAGGGCTCCTGCAAATAGGTACCTTCTGCTTCACAGTCTTCCCCTAGGGGATTATAATCAGCATTAGGAGGCAAAATGCTTTGCAGGCACTTAGCAAGCATTCAATAAATGGTTTTCAGTATGTCAGAGACCACTCACTCTTGACAGAGGTATTTGCATGCCTAACCCCTGCTCTAGGAGCTCCAGAGCAGCAGTGAACAAGTGAATAGCCCCACCATTATTGAGTTGGTTAAGTAACAGTCATTTAATCTCCTATCAAATTATACACACCTCAAAAAACTGTAATAGGACATACAATAAAAAAACAAAGCCAGCTTTCAAAATTGGAAGTTTCAAAGTTGTAGAAATTCCTGGAATGGGTCATGTGGGTAAGTGATACAAGTAGGAGAAATTTTCATTAAGTGTTAGTTTGTATTAACTGTACTAGGCACTCATACTGATACCTAGTTAGTGTATTTAAGAATGCCTTGTACAGGTATGGTGAGATGGCTCATTAGGTAAAAGTTTACCCCACAAGCCTGACAGCCCAAGTTCAATCCCCGGAACCCACATGAAAGTGAAAGGAGAGAAACTGACTCCACCAAGTTTTCTTCTGATTTCTACACTCATGCCCTGGGATGTGTGCCAATCTACACCATGAACACATACACACATATAATGGGAGTAGTAATAATAATAATAAAGAATGCCTTCTTTCTCCAGTTTCATGTAAGTGTTCAAGGATATACCCTGTAATACATTTTGCAAAACCTTTTAACACACATACTGTGCCTTCCCTCTGTGGACTATTACAGCTCCCCAAGTGCTTGTTGGGTAAATACACAAATGGAAGAATGAGTGAATGAACCACCAGAAAGCTCTCAGGTTGAGTGTAGTCCTATCCTCTCTCCTTTAAACTTCCCACAACACACAGGCACTCATACTCACTCAGTTACATGAAGGGGAAAAGGTAGGTTTTCTCCAAGTCAAAACTCCAGTTGCATGGTAGACTTGTGTTGAATTAAATTAGGAACACAAAATTCAGTGGCGGGGGGGGGGGTCACATCATGCAATTGTCCTGTGTAATCAAAATCATCTTTCACCCCTGTCTCTCTTGCATCTCTATGTGATGACTCTACAGATCAAAATGTATAAACTCCCCTTCTGAGAAGATTTCCGTTCTCAGCATAAGTTTATGTTAGGCCTCTATTTATCCAGAGCCAAGTGGTCTAACTGAAAGAAAGCAAATCCAGAACCAAGTGAACACATATGACCACTTCACTTGTTCTAACTTTTCATGGTTGCTTTTAAACAAAGCATCTTCGGCCAGCACTTTTCAAAACAGCCTGAAGATGACCAAATATAGAGATTAAATGGGAGACTGAGAGGAAAATAAACTCCAGGAGAAGTTATTGGGGAAGGAGGATGGACCCTTCAGGTCTTACTTCACTGTATGACAGAAATTATCAAAAGGATGGCAGATGAGGGTCAGACAGAGGACAGCACCTCCTTTACTCACAGTCACCAACATTTGTTGGGGCTATTTGTTTCCATCCCTTCTCTTAGACAGCCATCAAACCTGTTCAGGAGGACACCAAAAATACATCAACAGCCAGTGGCACAAACTCTCAACTGGGAACCATGATCCTCCAGAATAGTAACCCATCCACCTCAGAGCCTAAAAGTGCCAGTATATGGACATTCAAAAACTAGCATTGTCTCTGATACATCTTGCTTATTTAACTAGGTTATATAAACATGCAAAAATAAAATAGAAATACGCTCCCTTATGAATTGATTTGCCTTAATCTCTCATGCTTTCTGTGTTACTCACAGGAGCTATGGAGGTTGATTCAATGTGCACAGGCAATAGGTCACAGAGAGCCTCACCTAGCTGAGGGCCATCCTGTTTCCTCTGATCTTCACCTTCTCCCACTTCTTAGCAGTTGGGTCACAGGGTTGGGGGGGGTCATAGGCAGTCACACTGATTAGTCTTCTTCTCACAGTTATCTTACAATGTTTCCACGTTTTACAACCTAAAGTCAAGGAGGAGATTTTTGTTTTGGAGTCATGTTTTATGTAAAATGTGTTCTTAGCTTATTTCCTGAGCACATGGTGGGCTCTCTACTGGGCAGAGAGCTTCAGAGAGGCAGTTTTGGCACAAGGCACATATTGGGCAGCTACCCAAACTCTTTTACTAACAGCTGTGCATCTGTGGGCTAAGATGTATCTATACACATACCACTTAACTACAAGGAACACCCCTGGGATTGAACCTCAAGTTTGACTGCCAAAACCTTGGTACAACTGGGGTGTGCTTATTTTTAAGATGAATGTCCATGAGCTCAGATCCGGGGACTCTGAGTCACTGGGTCTATGGGGTATTCAGAAATTTCCATCTTTAATGAATATCCCACTGTGAGCCACTCTGAGATTCCCTGTGCTCATTAATCTTGAAGATCTCTCCTAGCAATAGCAGTCTTCTAGTCTGTCCCTTCCTTAACAATCAATCCCAGACATCCTGGCACACCCTTTGTGCCTGTCAGTCCTCTGGTACTGATGGCCCCCACCATGGGGAGCCAGGAAGGTGCATTGGCATCTATGATGAGCAGCTTAGGGAAGGCAAGAGAGTTGATTGGGTTATTGTCCCTTCCTGGGGGAAACACTAACACCTTTCTTGTCTCTAACGCCCAGGTGACAGGTGGAATCTGGAATTTCAGCCGAATTTGCTGTGATGTTTTTGTCACCCTGGATGTCATGATGTGTACAGCCAGCATCCTGAACCTCTGTGCGATCAGCATAGACAGGTAGGGCTGGAAGTCCCCTTCCAGGCTTAAGAGACAGGTGGCCCTAAGGGGTACAGGAGATATTCATTTAAGATATTGGGAACTTCCAAGGGAACTTGTCACGGCTACATTCCCTTCCTTGTTTTTTCTTTTAAAACAAGGCTTGCACATGACGGGGGAAATTGTGAACAGAAATAATTGCCCTATAAGGTTGATTAGCCTTTTCTCCCTTCCAGCCGACCCACCCCCACCCCACCCCCCTCCCCATTCCACTCCACCCCGGGTTTGCTTTCCCATTATCCTTTAGGGCTTTTGTGATTCCTAATTGGAAGGAATGGGAAGAGAAGAGAAAAAGACATAAAGTAGGTTGTGAGTTAGTAGGGAATCCTGGAGTTGATTTGATTGCTGATGAAAGCTGGGGAACTCTCTCAGAGAGACAGAGCAGATTGAGATCTCTAGCCAATGTCTCCAAGTTTTTGTTACCTTCAGAGAAAGAGTTCAGAAGAAACAAAGGAAGAATAGGGAGGCCATATTGTATAATTAACACACAACAATAGGGGAGAAAAGAGTGTGGACTTCTCAAGAGAATCATGCTTCCCAGGGTCTAGGACAGGATCTTATAGGAAAACTCTAGGAGCGGAGGTGAATATTATTGGGTCAAAGTTGAGAATCAGGATTTGTTACAAATTGGTGCTTTCCCTTTTCAGTTCTTGTGTAGGGCTTTGGGATATGTTGGGGTATCAGATGCATGATGGGAACTGGAGACTTTGCAGGGTTAGCGAAATAAAAAGCAAAGTGAAGACATGGCAGTTGGTCTCAGACAGCTATGAAGTATCTTATTCTACATTGTTGCCAGGTCCCTGTGTTGTTCTGCATCAACCTCCAGCTACTAAGCATTTGGCCTCTTTCCTTTTTGTTTTCACTGAACTATCCTCGCCTACCTCGGTCTATTTGTTTGGTTGTTTGGTTGGTTGGAGAGGGAAGAGAGAAAGGGGAAGGGTAAGAGAAAGAAGCATAGGCATTTTTCCCAGTTGGGAGAGAAGAAGGGATAAAGAAAGAAAGGCAATTTTAGAAAGCATGTGACCCACACATGTCCCTTACAGCGTTTTTTAAAAAAAGGGAGTAGGGACTAGAGAGATGGCTCAGTTGTTAAAAGCACTTCCTGCCCTTTCAGAGGACAGGAGTTCAGTTCCCAGCACCCACATTGGGCAAACTGAACAACCTGTAACTTCAGATTCAGGGAAATCTGATGCCCTCCTCTGGCTTCCTCAGGCACGCGCGCACACACACACACACACACACACACACACACACACACACACGTGCGCGCTCATCTTTTTTAAAGGGAAAAGACAGTACATTATATTTTCTAAATGCGCGCTCTTTCATTACTGGAGTAGATTTCTGACACCCTGGCTTTGTTCTGTGCCACAGCACTTTAAAGAGTCCCTGAACCCACTGCCCTTGTTTGTTCGGTTTTTTTTTTTTTTTTTGCCCTCCTCTTACTCTCCCTCACCTGAACAAGATACCCTGAGCTAGGTGGGGTCCCTGCAGGTGTCACAGCAGGCAGGGAAATGAACCACAAAGAGGTAAAAAGGAAAACTCAGTTCAGCTGGATTCCACCAAATTGGATCAAACTTCTAGAGAAAAAAAAAAAAAAAACTTTGCTGGTGTAACACAATCCCCAGTGCACAAGGAAGCAAAACTGCATCAAAACTCAAATCAAGGTCCATGTCATTTCTTTCAAGATGAGGTCTAGAAATAGACTACCTGTACCAGATGATTAAGGGCTTAGGAAAGGGTCCAGCCTGACCTCAGTCATACAGGTAGAATAGAGGTCGTTTGGGCTATTAGCCACCTCTCATCCTGGTTGTGGGAGCTTGGGGAGACCCTGGCTATACGGGCAGTATAAGGGTCATTTAGATGCTGTTTACTGACAATTTACCATGTGAGCTAAACTTGGCTACACATTAATTCATTTCTTCTTAACAACTCCAAGGTGGCATTACCTTTACCTCCTCATACCTAGATAATCTGTTAGAGTCCTACAGCTAGAATGAGACCATGCCAGAGTTTGAATTCATGTCTATGTGAGTCCAAATGAACCACCCTACGTTTAGTTGTGAAACTCACCAAATTTCCAGCTGTACCCCTCTTTCCTACCTTAATACTAAACAGCAAAACATCCTCACTAATAATCTCTCACTGGAGCTGTCCCTATTCATAAATCTTTTATTTTCTTTGACCCATAGCTACCACCCTCAACCATTAGACACTTACAACTCTATTTTCGTGATTTGTTTTCAGTTTGCCTCTGTTCTTCCTTTCTTGCTGCCCTTGTTTACTTGAGGTTCCAGTGACCTCTCATTGATGTTCCATAACCATCTGCCAGGCCCTTCAAACTCTCTGAAGAACTCCTCAGAAGTGTAGCTCCAATTTCACTGCCCAACTCAAGACCTTCCAGCATCTCATTGGTCTATACAAGGATTTGACATGGCCACACTCACTCTCAAGTAATCTGCATTCATTTTTCTTACTTTTATTTTTCTATGTTTATTTTTAAGTGGTTTTGGCGTTGCCTGCATTTCTATCTCTAAGCCATGTTCATGAAGTGGCCCAGGAACCCAGAAAAGAGCATCAAATATCCTTGGGACTGGGGTTACAAATGGCTGGGCCCCTGTGTGGGTGCTGTGAATTGAACACGGTTCTCTGGAAGAATAGCCAGCACTCTTAACCACCGAATCATTTCTCCAGCCCTTTTTCCTTCCTTCCTTCCTTCCTTTCCTTCTTTCTTTCTTCCTTTCTTTCCTAACTAATTTGTGTTTAGTCTCAGAATTTTCACACATGTATAAAGCATACCTTAATCTTACCTACCCCTAATTCCCCCAGGGAATGCCTCCACATCTTCCCAACTTTATGTCATCCTTTTATACTTAATTATTTCAGCACACTGAGTCCAATTAGTGGTACCCATATGCCTGTGGGCATGAGGTAATCCACTGGGGCATGGAGAACCTACCAGTGGTCACATTCCTAAAGCAGAATTACTTTCCCTCCCTCAACTGCCAATAAGAACGGGGCCTCAGAAGGCCCTTCTCCCTCCATGCTGGAATAACTGACTGGATCATATGCAAATCATGGATGGTGGGGAGGAAGGTAACTGATACTGCTGTGAGTTCCTGTGTGCAACAGCCACACCAAGTCCAGAGGGAAGCATTTCCCAGCACTCCTCCAGCTCTTACATTCTTTCTGCCTCTTCTTCTCCAGTGTTTTCTGAGCCTCAGGGTAGGGACGGGGTTTGATACAGACGTCCCCATCTACAGCTGAGCACTCACAGTCATTTGTTTTCAGCGTTTTACACAAGAATGGGCCTCTGAATTAACCACCACTTCTCTGACCAAGGTTGGAAGCAGCACTGATCTGTGGGTGCAAACACACATCTTTAGAAAGTAGTTTGACAACATGACCATTTAGAAAAGCAGTATTAAGGCAGGCTTAGTCGTACACACCTTTAATCCCAGCACTCGAGATGCAAAGGCAAGCAGATTTCTAGGAGTTTTGAGACTACCCTGGCCTACATAGTGAAGAGAGAAACTGGCTACCCAAAGCCAGGGACCATTGAGTTTGGCTTAGTATTCTTGATTAAAGCTCTGTAATAGGCATGGCAGGAAAAAATAGAGGTCATAAGGACCTAGGCCTTAGGTAAGTGTTTAGACTGGGCTGCTAACGGCAATAGTAAGACAAACCTACTATTTGTATAGTCTCTAAAACATGAACTAAACGTCCAGAAATTATGCAACAGACGTGCATGTTAGAGCTAAAAATATAAAACTCCTAACACTTTTTTTAAAAACATATCTATGGAAAAAGAATTCACATAGTATACAATTACTCCACTGAAAGTATACCAAAAAGTATTTAATTGTATACAAATATCGGGTTTGCCTTACTAAGCTGAACTCAAAGGTCCCTGGCTTAGAGTTGCCATTGTTTCTCCCACAATGGGCATCTTCATGGACATGAGAGGGTGGGAGAGGGTTATCTATCTTCAAAGTAAGACAAGACATAAAGAAAGACAGGGAAAGTTAAGGGGACACAAAAATGGGAAGTATTCTCTCATTCTTGAATCTAATTGAAGTCCCAGCAGCTCAGAGTCAAGAGTTTTGGCACAACTTTGCCATGAAGATTGGCTACTGCCTTAGTTATGTTTCTATCATTATGATAAAACAACTTGGAGAGAAAAAGAATTATCAGAAGTGAGAGCAAGAACTCAAACGAGGCAAGGATGGGTGAGGGGACCAAGCAGAGCTGTGGGAGACTGCTGCTACTGGTTCGCACTCCTGGATTGCTCAGTCTGCTTTCTTTTTACTTTTTAAATAAACATTCTTGTTTATTAAATTTTTACAACTTTATTTATTAATTCACCGTGTGTGTGTATGTGTGTGTGTGTGTGTGTGTGTGTGTGTGTGTGTGTGTGTGTGGTGGAGGAGGACAGGGAACAACTTTGGGAGTTGGTTGTCTCCTTCCTGCATGTGAGTCCTGAAGGATGAACTCTGGTTACAAATGATCCATCTTGCCAGCCCTCTTTTAAAAACAGATTTTGAGTTTTTTTTTTTTTTTTTTTTTTTTTTTTCTTTTTAATGCATATGGGTGTGTTGTCTGAGCAGTGCCCTTGAAGGCCAAAATAGGGAATCAGATCTATCAGAACTGGAGTTAAAGATGGTTGTGAGCTGCTATGTAGGTGCTAGGAACTGAGCCCAAGTCCTCTAAAAATGCAGTCAGCATTCTTAACCAATAAGCCACCTCGCCAGCCCTCCAAACCTGCTTTCTTATAGCACCCAGGACCACCAGCCCAGGATAGCACCACCCACGAGGTGCTGGAGCCTCTCCCATTAATCGCTAGGCAAGAAAATAGCCCCACAGACTTGCCTACAGACCAATCTCATGGAAGCATTTTCTCAATTAAGATTCCCTCTTCCCAGATACGTCTAAATTTGTGTCAAGTTGACAAAATCAGCCAG